GTGCCCGATACTCTATCTCTGCTGACGAATGAGAGACAACTGCCTGCTTCTTGCTCTTCCAAGAGATAAGATGAGTCCCTCGAAAAGCACAGAAGCCCGTAGTAGATCTACCGTCGCATGCTCCCCCATAATCTGAATCTGAATAACAGGCTAGAGGATTAGTCTGAGATCGTGATGCATAGAACAACCCAAGTCTAGGACAAGACTTGAGGTATCGAAGAATATGATAAACTACATCAAGATGAGGCTGACACGGCCTGACTAACTCGGCTGACAGTGAATGAAATGTCTAGCCTAGTATTGGCTAGGTAGATAAGTCTATCTACCAACCTCTGATAGACAGTCGGATCTCTCAACTCCTCACCTTCAGCAGTAAGCTTTAGGTTTGAAATCATGGGTGATGATGCCGGTTTGCACCCCAACATTCCAGTGTCTGAGAGAAGATCCAGAACATACTTTCTCTGAGACAGAACATACCCCTGTTGCTACGGGCAACCTCACTCCCAAGAAAATATCGCAAAAATCCAAAATCCTTCACATCGAAGGCCTTCTCAAGGTCTACCTTGACCTGCATAGTTCTAGAAATATCATCTCCAGTGATAATAATATCATCAACATATACCAGAAGGATGACACATTGTCCAGAAGTATTCCGTCGAATGAAGCAGGTATGATCAAAATGACATTTGGTGAACCCTAAACGTACAACCACATCACTAAAGCGAGAAAATCAGACTCGTGGTAACTTTTTCAGTCCATAGAGAGACTTACGCAGTCGACATACCTTTCCAGCATACTCCCCCTCACCACGAAAGTCCGGTGGTGCATCCATATAAATAATCTCATCCAGATTACCGTGAAGAAATGCATTCTTCACATCCAACTGATAAAGAGGCCAAGAGTACTCCGCAGCCAGAAAAATAATCAATCGAAAAGTAGTTAATTTTGCCACGGGACAAAGATAGCACCAAAATCACGGTCTGGTACCTGAATAAAACCCTTCGCCACAAGCCTAGTCTTATGGCGATCAATAGTACTATCCGCAAGAAGCTTTAAGGTGTAAACCCAGCGACAGCTAATAGGGTTCACCCCTGAAAGTAAAGAGACAAAATTCCACATATGATTACGCTGAAGAGCGTCCATCTCCATCTGCATGGCAAGAACCCACTGGGGCTCCTACATAGCCTCTGAAACAGAGCGAGGAACCGGCGTATCTGATAAAGTCATACTATAAGCTCGAAATATAGAAGAAAGATCACCATAAGAAACATAAGCAGATATCGGATATAAAGTCTTAGCAGTCCAACCATAACGGACAACTGGACAGCGATCACACTGCGGATAACGACGCCCTAAACCATCATTCTCCACTGACAATGTGTTATTAGGAAAAATAACTGGCTCATTACCTGCAATCTCATCAATACTAACAGTTGGTGTATCAATATGCTCAACAAACTGAGAAGTATTACCTGCATCGCTTGAGGTAAAGGGGACGTCAGTAGGGGAATGAGAGTGAGGGCGACAAACATAAATCTACAAAGGAATAGAGACTGGTGACTCTGTACTGACAGGGACGAGTGGCTCTGGTGGAGGAGAGACTGATGACTCTGTAGTGATAGTGACTAATGGCTCTGGTTCCTGTGGTAACGAAAAATCAAAGGAAGTATCATCAACTGGAGGGGCAAACACAGGAATAGAAGAAAAATAAGGAATCTGCTCAAGAAATGTAACATTTAGACTATGATACATCGGCGCCTGATAGAATCATAACACCGATACCCCTTAGACTGATGACAATAGCCCACAAAGACACAACGAATCGCTTTATCATCAAGATTATGACGAGTAGGAGACCGATCTTGAACAAAACATGTGCAGCTAAAAATACGAGGGGGTACCAAAAAAAGTGTTCGCTCAGGGAATAAGACCTATAAGGGAACCCTATACTGGAGAACACGACTCGGTGTACGATTATACAAAAAGGTAGAAGTCAAAACAGCAAAATGCCAATAAGATTTTGGTACCCCCATACCTCTAAGCATACAACGTACCATCCCTATTAGACTCCTATTTTTCCTTTCAGCAACTCTATTTTGCTCAGGAGTATATGGACAAGTGAGCTGCTGAATGATACCCTGAGAAGAAAGGTGAGACACTAAGGCATCAGACACATATTCTTTGACATTATCCGAACGAAGAGCACGAACAATGACATCGAATTGTGTCTTAATCATCTGAAGAAACTGAGCGATAATAGGGAGTACATCAGACTTCCTATGCAAAAGGTAGACCCAAGTACAACGAGTATAGTCATCTATAAATGTCACATAGTATCGAGCACTTGACAAAACAGTAACAGGAAAGGGTACCCAAATATCAAAGTATATTAGGTCAAATGGCTTGGGTGACTGGTGCATGCGAGAAATATAACTGTTCCGAACATGTTTCGATAGGGAACATATAACACAGTCAAATTTACCACCAACACAAGCATTGCTCAAAGCAGGAAATAACATACATAAATATTTAAAATTTGTATGCCCAAAACGGTCATGCCACAAGTGAATAGTTTGTGATGAAAAATCATAACGATAAGTACCAGGCAAAATACTAGTATTCAAGTTAGAAACAGATACAGACAAAGCAGGTGCAGATAATGGAGGAGGAGGAACTGGTGAAACTGGAGGTGAATCGCCTAAATAATACAATTCATCTCTCTCATGTCCCTTGATAATAATCCTCTTGGTACTCGGGTCTTGCAAATAACACGAATCAGATAAAAATATAACCGCACAGTGAAAATCTCTGACTAACTGATGTACGGATAATAGATTCATGGCCAGTTTTGGCGAATGAAAAATCGAATGTAATGTAAAGCCATCTGGAAGGCGGACTGCATCCCTACTAACAATAGAGGCATGTGTCTCATCTGCTAGCTGAACCTGTATATGTAACTACTCGTCAAAAGTGGTGAAGTGATAAGCCTCACCCGTCATATGACCATTAGCACCCGAGTCCAACATCCAAAGGGGAGACGGACTAGCACAAGTATGAAAAGCACGAGGTATACCAGCAGTAGCCGCAGCAGTAGTAGTCGGACCTCGAGAAATCAAGGCTGACATAAGTCTATCCAAGCGAGAAGTGATAGCATCCATATCACTCTGTCAAGGAAGAGCAGTAGCAGTAGTAGCATGAGCAATGACTATAGGTGATGGTGTCTTACCAATGGCAACAGTGTGGCTGCCAAAAGGTGGCTTAAGCTCCGAATGGAGCTTCCAACAAGTAACCCTGAGATGTCCTAATCGGCCACAATAATCACACTGACGAGAAACTGCCCGTCTACGCTGATCTGGGATATCTTGTCGGTGCTGCTCCAGGCGACCAGGCAGTACATTCCAAGTGGAAGTACTAATAGTGGATGGCTCAACAATAGGGGTCTCAAGTCCCTCAGTAGTAGTCATATCAACAACAATAGTATGGCACACGTGACAGAAAAAATAACTCTTAGATAAATAGAGGGATAAAATAAGGGAGAACAATATACCTCCAGTCAAACAATAGCGACAGATAAAGAAGGTCTAGAAAGCTCTCAAATAATCAGGTCACGGTGTCCAGAATTTCAGTAAATGAAAATAAATGATCTATTGCATCAAGAGCAAATCAACGGAGAAGAGGATTCAACCCTTCTTAAAATAGCCCTAGTTATTGCTACTTGGCAGCATTATGACGAAGACTGTGAACGACGAAGTTACAACGAAGAAAAAGGACCCGACAATGGGTTGATTTAGTATATGTTTAATGGGCTGGGCCTGGTATGTGTTTTCTTTTAAACTGGCTGGTGCTTAGGTATAATGAAGGACGCAGTCGGTGCTACTAGTTGTTTGGTTTGTATAGCTGTTGGTGTAGTATTTTATATCGCTTGGCTGTCGATAGAGTTTTATGCTAGTCCGTGGAGTTTCATACTGGGCAGTAAAAGATGGGCTGTGTAGTTGGCGAAGGGCTATGTAGTTTTATACTGGGCAGTCGTTGGGTTCTTGTCAGTGATGTTGGCTATTTTGTTGGTTGTCGGTGATGATCGGTTTGATGTTTTAAGAATTGAGTTTGGCTGTGTGGGTTTGCTATGGGTATGTTGGTGTTGTTTTGTTTTAGGCTAGGTTTGCTATTAGGTTTGGCTGTGAAGGATAGGCAGTGGGTTTGCTATGGGTAGGTTGTCGGTGCTTTATGAATTTAGTCGGTCAATGCTTTATGCTGATTTTAATGGATTGGGTGTTTCGGTGCTGCTGGATTTCGGTGTTGCTGGGTTGCTGTCGGTGCTGCCTATTGGTTCGTTGGAGTGGTTTCGACTGAGTGGTGTCGGTGGTCTGAGTTATGGGGTTTTGTCACTGGGCAGTGGGGGATTTAGTTGGTTTGTTGTTGGTATGGCAGTAGTCTGGTGGCTAGTGGCTGCAACGTGCTATGATGAAGGTTGCTAATTGCTGGTGAAGATGACGGAGAAGTTAGGGTTAGGGTTAAGGTTAGGCTCTGATACCAACTTGGAATAAATGTGAGTGAAAAGGGATACTCAAACTTAGAGTACAGCCCCATATATATAGTCAAATAATAATACAAAGTGACCAAAACATCCTTGTGGTCTAGGCAAAATATAAAATCATAATAATAGTAAAAAAGGAAAAAGAAACCCTAATAAACTAAACTATACAACAACAGTTACCAAGCAACCAAGTTTGGCCAGGAGATGACCTTCCCTTCACTAGAAGCCAAGAATATTACTATCCAAATTGAAAAAAGAAACAACCACCCAAACAAATCAGTGAAATTTGAATATCAAGGAGTCGCATTGTGAGCATCGAGCAAACATAAATGTCAGTCTTTCCCCTAACACTTAATAGGTAGGTTGACAGAGAATGAAAAGAAACCACAAAAACTGAAAAAACTAGAATTAGGAAGGTAATTTCCACATCATCATAACTTGGAAGGATAAGATAGATACACGTATATCAACTCAAGTTCCTGTTATGCTTTCTCAGAGCCTGAGTAGGGAGATGAGTTCAATAATATATGTACAACACTGTCACAGAATGATATACCGACTTTCTTTAAGTGAAGTGTGTGATTACTGTTCAAAAAAAAAAGTAAGTGTGTGATTGACATTAATGCGAAGACACTATACAATTTTGCAGAATTTAGTAAAACCAACGAGACAAAAATTATCTGAAAATGATATTGCCCTATAAACCGAAAAACTTAAAGATTTATGCCGCATAGATAACCAATAATCAAAAAGGAGGGAGGATATCTTCTGAAAGTGGTTTTCAAACAAATTTAAATCCAAAACCTCAAAAGCAAAATTCACTTATCTAATGAGTTATAAATTTACAGATATAACATTAGCAAATTTGTACTGATCATGGCAGTAGTTCATAGTAGCATGCTTTTCAATCATAAGAAAAGAAATTGTATGAGCCATAACATGGTAAAGACTGCATTGGTACCTTGGACAAAAGACCATCCTTTGCTAACTTATAATTGCTCTCAGCATGATTTTTTGCAACAACACGTTCATCGACCCAAAATATGTACCACTTAGCCCAGTCGACAGTCTTGTTATAAGGAGCTTCACAGAGTTTTCTGCTTCCACCAGAAATTTAAACCAAAATTGTTAAATCATATAAAGAAACAACAACAAAAAAAATGAAAAGAAAGCATTTATACAATATACCCCATCAAACCAATAAGAGAACCACCAGATAAAGCAATGGCAAAGACACCCCGCTCTTTCACTGACACCTCTGACAATTCCGCAATATAATCTGCCAAATCAGTGCGTAGCTCATCCAAACTCTCATGAATCCTCAACTCTCCTCCATCTTTATTAGCCCCAGAAAGAGACATTCTTCTCACAAGTCTAATGTAAGGCAGCTCTGTCACACAAACAAGAAAGACTAGTAAAATGAAGACCAAGTTTTGGTTTGAAGAACAAATTAGAACATGCAATTTGAATGCTCCTTGCTAATTTGGAAATGAAATGGGAAAAAAAGACTATTACATCAATTTCAAGAAGACACAAAACTAGAAGAACAGTCGATCATTATTTAAAATAAAATGACTTCTGAGGGGGTAACAAAGCAGTATCAAATGGAGATAGTAGAAAATTATGGTAACACTCAAAATTGTCATTTTAAAAATTCCCCAACTAAAGTAACAATGAAAAGTCAAGATGTGTGCAGTATATAACCAATAACCTCAGTTATTGCAATAAATTAAGCTTAAATTGGAACATGGAGCTCAAACGAACAACCACAAAGCTGACCAACTGAAGATTAATAAATTAATTGTCTACAGATCAAATGAAAGATCCCAATCCTATCCATATATATCAGAACCAGTGGAATATGCTGCATTATAGACAAAACCCAGATCACAAAAAAGAAAAAAAAAATCAAAATTCACAGCCCATTACAGCAAGAAACTAAAAAAAAACAATTCAAAAGCAGATAACTTAGAATCATATCTCTGAAGCCGAAATCAATATCATCATACACATACGCACACTCTCTGATACATAGAAATAAATAGTTAAAAATATTTTTTTATCCACAGCAAGAGAGAAGCTTACAAAGAAGAAAGGTCGAGATGGGTGCAAAGAAGGAAGAAACTGACGAAAGTGGAATATGGGTATCAACAAATTATATTATATATGCGCATATACATAAATATAATGATGTAAATAATCAAATCTGACCCTTTTTACTGAATATAATATAACTTACAAAGCTGAAGCGAAGAATTTACCTTCTGAGCTGCCACGTGCATCCAATGATCGTGACGACACACACACAAAATTCTCTCTCCTCTCTCTCCCCCCCCCCCCTTCTTTCTCTCTCTATAAATATAAATACAGAGAGTAGATAGATAGAGAGAAGATAAACACCCATCCCTATCCGCACTTTTCTGAAAGAGCAAAAATGAAACTCTCTCCCTATCTTAGATTTTCTGCTATATTTTCTGTCCATTCAATGAGATAGAAAGTTAATGCTATAATGGTTTTATATTGTACTAACACATTTCAACTTGTCTGTGAATTATGGGGAAGATAAGAATAGTTAAGAAAAATTACACACTCAACCAACACACCTGTGCAAATTAGAGTTTGAAAAGTGTTCCAATGGGTTACTGACGTGCAAGATACAAATTGAATAATTTAATCTGAGGTGGTGGAATTTTACTTTATTTTAATTTATCAACTTTGATCTATTTTTAAAGGTTAGCGTTTGTTTGGATTGTTATTAGTTTACCGCCGTCATTATTAGACTTTAAAATCGTAGATTGAAACTTCTTTGTCCTTATCTCTTATAATAGTACCTTGGTAAAAAAAAAAAACATTACTTTTTTTGAAGTTTTGGAAAATCTTCTCGTTTTTTGCTCTTAATTTATTTTTTCTTTTTGGTTGTCTCCTCAAAATCAGATATCTATATGTTTTTATATATGTGTTGTGTATTCCACTTTACCCCCAACCACTCTTTTTATATATGCTCCACTAGGGAGAACTATGATTTGTGTACTCAATGTCGTGCACACCAAGATAGAAGAAAGTAATTCAACCCTCGAAACTCCTCTTTAATAGTAAAATTAGCCGCCATCTCATGTGATGCACAGAATTGATTTATTCTTTTTTTTTATATTTTTTTTATTTATCATTTTCTTCTTTCATGTTAGCACATGAGAAGTTATATAAACAAATGTAAAAAAAAAATTGAGTGGTAAAAAGTAATTTTTTGAATGAATTTGAAAAAATAGTGATTGGTTATTAAAGAGTTGATGGGTGATTAAAAATGACACACGATAGAGTCTAATTAGAGAGAGGCATAGGATTTGAATTAAAAAAAAATAAATTCTAAGAATTTAAGAAATAGAGAGGGGAAGGCTTTCCAAGACATCTCACCTCTAAATTGTTTATCATATATGTATATAGATAGATGTATGAGAGGAATAATTGATAAAAAAAAAAAAAGAGGAATAAGTGATAAGAATTATTATTCCGATTTTCAAAGAGTTTTATTCTCAAATTCAAATAAGTGGCATACTATTTAGGAAGAAAAACAATTGTTAAGGCTTATGGTGTTTGACTTGTATGCCTATCCCATGATATGTTAGCAAAGCTCATTTACAATCTAACTTTGGTTATAAACTTTAGGGATTCAAATTTTTCTCTAAATTATATACTTTTTTTTTAATTTCATTCATGGGTAAATCATGTGTTTTTTGTTAGAGAAACTCACTTAACAAATAGGGTTCTGATCAAAAAAAAACAAATAGGGCGAATTTTATTTTGCACCCTAAATCAAGAGTTCTTATTTTACACTCTCAAAGATTAAATATCTTCTATTGCATCCTCAATGTATCAAAACTGTTGCAATGTGACCTTTTGTTAGCTTTTATTATTTTTTTGGTAAAAAATCACTCAATGGACACTGACGAAAAAAATAACGAAATTTAATAGAAATGGTCACATTGCAACACTTTTGATATATTGAAGGTGTAATGTGAAAATTTTATGATTTGTTTGGTTTGCATATCAAAAAATAATATCCGCAAATAATTTTTGAGAAGAATTTTAAGAAAGTGTTTTTAAAAATTTTAGATTGCAAAACTTCTTTGGTTATATATTTTTTAAAATAATTTTAAAGAACAAAAAATTATAAAATATGTTTGAACAATAATCCACAAAACTCACAATTCCCATCTTTATCTTTCTTTCCCCTTTCTTTGTCTTCACAAAACACACACACAAACACAGACACGCACACGCATACGCATACGCACACAAATACAAATCTGCATATACACAAATCTATGTAGATTTGAAGCTTCAATTTTTTTGAGAGAGAGAGAAAAACTCAGATCTGAGCACACAGATAGAGAACAGAGAAGACGCCAGAGATCTTTGTGTGTGTGTGTGTCTTGAACCCAGATGCAGAAAAAAAAAACGTTGAAAAGGACGGAGAAGACGCCGGATATCGTTAGAGTTCTTAAACCCAAATCGTGTGTGGGTTTTTCGTCTGGATTTGCTGAAGTGGAGAGAGAAACTCCGGTGACAAAGCAACGATTTCGTTGCTCCGATTTTCGTTGTAGAGAGAGAAAGAGATTGAGAAAACATAAATGAGGGGCTTTTATACTTCAACAAAAAAAAATACATTTTACTGCTAAAGAAATTTGATGGTTGGACCTCATTAAAGAGGAGGGGATGTTTCTCTTATTTTCTATTTTGGCCTAAAAACTCAAAAAATATCATTTATATGTTCTCTATTTTTTGTTCTTATTTCTCACTTTTTTTAAAAATTTGTTTTTGGAAACTACTAACCAAACAATATTTCACAAAAATTTGTGTTTTAAGACACAAACTAACTATCACCTTAATCTTTGAGAATGCAAAATGAGAATTTTAAAATCTTTCAAGGTCAGTATGATTCTCCCTAAAAAAAATAAAGTGACTCTTATGTGAATTCAAGATGTGTGGCTTATCTTTAATTAAATCAAAGAAAAATATATATGAGCATATCTCACTTTGAATTTTATGTGTCTTAAATCATTGTCCCAAACATCAAACTGATTTAGTAAACAATACTTTGATGAGTAGGGATAATCAAATTGCAATTGATGAGTCATGCATTGACTTGATAATATAGTTAAAGTTCCCTAAAGAGTAAATACATGATGATCTAGTTTATAGTAGTTTCTATTGAGTTTTTTTTTTCCTTAATTAGATGCATTTAAGACATAAAAGAAGAGTGTACACTTTATATTAATAATTTGCTTATAGTACGATGATATGACTATCACTAATNAGTATAGTTAAAGTTCCCTAAAGAGTAAATACATGATGATCTAGTTTATAGTAGTTTCTATTGAGTTTTTTTTTCCTTAATTAGATGCATTTAAGACATAAAAGAAGAGTGTACACTTTATATTAATAATTTGCTTATAGTACGATGATATGACTATCACTAATTTAATTGAAATTTGACAATAAATAAGGTAACATCTAAAGTTTTGCAGCAATTTTTTCATAAAAATGCGAAAAAAAAGAAGGTAGCTTTCGTGATTTATTGAAAAAAAAACATACTATTTCTAAAAAGCATGGTGTTTCTCTAAAGAAAAAAAACTAGGATTTACTTTTTACATGTTCATGTTTGCCTTTTTTTTTTTTTGCAATTTGATCANAAATCTAAAGTTTTGCAGAAATTTTTTCATAAAAATGCGAAAAAAAAGAAGGTAGCTTTCGTGATTTATTGAAAAAAAAAACATACTATTTCTAAAAAGCATGGTGTTTCTCTAAAGAAAAAAAACTAGGATTTACTTTTTACATGTTCATGTNACATCTAAAGTTTTGCAGCAATTTTTTCATAAAAATGCGAAAAAAAAGAAGGTAGCTTTCGTGATTTATTGAAAAAAAAACATACTATTTCTAAAAAGCATGGTGTTTCTCTAAAGAAAAAAAACTAGGATTTACTTTTTACATGTTCATGTTTGCCTTTTTTTTTTTTTGCAATTTGATCATATCTATAGTGTGTACACCGAAATATCACGATATATATATACTTTTCAAAAAAAATTTATCAAACATGTTTTTTATTTTAAAAAAACTAATAATGTAAAAAAAAATTACAATGTGTTTAGAACAAGTATTACCAAACCATTCATAAGTGTGCCACTGCTTTTTTTGCTTTGTTTCTCATGATTTGAAGCTTTAAAATGTTTCTACACTTGTGAAAAAGTAGAATGATGTCATTTCAATCAAAGCAATTCCATATTTGATACAAGCAAACGTCATGTCATCTTTCATAATATTTATAAATTATAGATACCATGTCAGCCATCATTTTCTTCAGTTG